AAATTCATCGACGTTAAACAGTTTTCACCGCGTAAAATTAAAAACAAAATTAATATAAACGAAAAAAAGTTGAGACAAACATGCATGGTTCAGACGGAGACACGCCGTATAACTCGTCCAACAACATTGACTTTTCATCGGAAGTTTTGAAATATTTGAAATAATATTATTTAAGTACAAAAACCTATTATTATTATTAGGACATTTTTAAAAGAAGAATTAATATGTTAAAGTCGATATATATACGTATTCAGTTTACGTGTTTTGGTGCTTATAATTTGGAATCTACATGATTAGGACATCTAAAGAATTCAGTTTCCAAAAACTTTACGATTACAAATCAATGAGCAAAAGAATAAACAAAATTGCAATACCTGTGAGATGGAACCACCGAGCCCCATGCCTTCAAAAAATTGGTGAAAAGTTAAAGCAGCAATAAGAGGTCTTATCGTTTTAGGATCTTCAGATGCACCCAGAGAGATCCCTATTATCACAGAATGCACCACAATCCCCAGCTCCAGCACCTGCAATATTTAAACATCAAAACCTAAATTATAATACACAGAAACAACAACAGAAAAAAAACAGCCAAAGATTCTCAGTAACGTGATATAAAACTACGATCATTTTTTTTTTAGTGTCAATGTTATTTTATATTTCTTTCCAACTTAATTAGCCAACGTCTTGTTCTTATCTCTTTACGAAAATTATCATTTATGTGTAAAAATAATTTTACTAATAAGAAAAATAAAAAAAATATTATATATTTTATTTGATTTGATTAAAAAAAAGGTAAAAAAAAAGTGATTGGACATGCCAAGAATAATAATTAAGGAGAGATAAGGAATTGGAGTAAAACTGGGGTGGCAGATAGTAGGAGAACCCACTTGTATTTTGATAATGATGTGACGACAAAACATAATGCATTATTGTTATACTGAGAAGTAGCACAAACTGCTGAATAATTACCTGAGAAATAACGCGATGGCGAAGGAGGTTCGTCGAAGGAGAAGACATGGAAGCGTGAGAATGAGAATGAGAATGATGAGTTGCATGGCGATTATGTTCATGCAGATCTTCTTCCTCAGCAACTCGGTCCATGGCGCTTAGCGAGGACTTTTTAAAATACGCAGTCGCAAGAGAATCAACCATAAGCGTTCCGATGGCTGCCACCATTGCCACAAATCCGGCGAAGGGAAAATCGTCCCAGGGATGATGACAGAGACTGGGAGGCGTCAGCTTTTCAAAAGCATCTGGCAATACATGAATGAAACCGGTGGATAATATGACCCCAGCCGCGAAGGCCTTCACCATGAAGAAGAAGTCCTTCTCCGGATGCAAGGCGGGGAAAATTCTGCTGAGCATTGGAAGGCTGACGCCAACTGCACTTGCAACCAGAATCGAAACAAGAGCTCCGATTTTGTACTTCTTGGCCAAATTCTTGTCAACCTTTTCTCCACCTTCTTCTTTATCGCTTTTGCATTTACACCGATCGCCGTCGCCGTCGCCGTCACCATCAACCACGCACGGAAGAAGAAGAGCAAGAAGCAGAAAGAGTAAAATCCACGTGATGTCACGTCGACAATGTGGGTGAGTTTTGCTCATTTCTGTGGACGGAATAAAGAGAGAGAAGGGTTTAACGAGAAATTTCTTCGAAGGAAAAAGGAAACCCTATCTCTACAAAAATGCTGGATGGCTATGAATGACTGAATGAAGAATTCTTCCAATAATGTTTTATATACTTAAACTTAGGCCACTTTTTTTTTTTTAATTTTTAATTCGTGGGAGACTTTTAATTAGTCTCTCTCAAGGTCAATTCCCATGTCCACACGCGATGACATAAAGCATGCTGTAGAAAGGAAAATGTTATTTGGACAACAAAAGTTTGACACAGTTTTGACAACGGCGACGTGGCAGCTGTGCATTGGCTCAGTGAATTGAAAACAAACCAGAAAAAACCCAAAATACCCCTCACCCCGGTTCACCGAGCCAATGCACAGCTGCCACGTCGCCGTTGTCAAAATTGTGTCAAACTTTTGTTGTCAAAATAACATTTTCCATTAATTAATAAGCCAATAATGGATTTACTATTTTCTCTACTTACTGGCTAATAACTTGTTAATTTTTAAATTGTAAAAGATTTAAATGAAATATTGAATTAATAATTTTTACATTTAAGGAATTCTTCATTGCATTTTATAAATCGTATTTTATTAAAATGTGTTAATGTTGTATTTATTTTTTAAGGAAATTTCTATATCATTAATTAAAGAAATTTAATTCATATTTTTTGAGTTTTTTAATTTTATTTTAAAGATAGTGTTTCCATGTTTTTTTTTAACTAAAACTTTACTGATAATTTCCTGAAATATTCAAATTCTGGAAGGAAATTGAACGGTTTGCCTAATCAACTTAGTTCATGTTCATGTATTTATTTAATAAAGTTTAAAAATCTTTAATTAAATAAATAAATTTAATTAATGGTTTCATGTATATTTTAAAAAAATGTTTAATTAAATAAAGAAATTTCATTAATGGTTTCACGTATATTTAAAAAAATATTTAATTAAATAAAAAATTTAATTAATGGTTCACGTACATTATGTATTCATATATTTGACTGTGTAACTTCTTTGAAATTTCATTCTTAAAACAAATTGAAAGTCATATCTAAGCAATTGTCCTATATGCATTTACTAATTTTCAAGCTTACAATAATTTTACTTCAACTTTTTTATCTAATGAGTTTAATTTCTCAATTTCAAAAGAATATTTAATTGATTATATAATATGTTCTAAGTTATTCACACACAGATAATTTCAGATAATTTCTTTATGAGTATTTGTTTTCATATATCTTGAACACAATTTACTAGAAAAATATATAATAACAATTTTAAATTTTTTATTCATATGTTTTCTAGAAAAAGATAAATAAATTGGTTTATGTGAAAATAGTGAAATAAAAGTAAGTAAAAATTAGTTTTCCTTGCATAGAAAATAAACATAGGTAATAGCTATATTTTGTTCTGCAATACATCTTCCTACAATATTTTGATTCTTATTTTTTAACAGATCAAGTTATCTTCAATGGAAACAAAATATCTGAAAGTAAACCTTCTACCAGAAAGATATAATGTCTAGTTGGCATTTGACTACAAAGAATGTGAGAACAAATGATAAAATGGTTTAATTTTACAACTAATATTATGTACTTCTCAAAATCTAATAGACTTTCCATAATTAGGTTGGAGTTTGCTATTGAGATCCATGGATGTGGCAACAAATTTTGAGTTCATAAGCTCAAATCCCTCCAAAATATCAAATACATATTTCCTTTGCTATATAACAATATTGTTGGATTATATTACCTCAATCCCCAATGAATATTTGAGTTTGTCAATATCTTTAATTTGAAAGCAATGTCAAAGGTATTGTTTCATCTAGGAGATGTCATTGTGATATAAGTGATTATAAGAACAATATCATCAACATATATTATTAAATAGATACACTTATCACTTGAGTGACAGTAAAAGACTAAATGATCTGACTCATTACAAGTTATACTAAGTTGTTGAACAACACTACTAAATTTACCAACCCAAGCCTTAGGAGATTGTTTCAAGTCATATAAATATTTACAAATATGATATACCAATTTAGAAGATTTTTCCTGAGCAACAAAATCAGGAGTTGTTCCGTACAAATTTCTTTCTTGCAAATATCTATTAAGAAACGACATTTTTGACATCTAATTAGTGAAGAAGTCATTGTTGAAGAGCTTTCATGACTATAAATAAGTAAATAAAGTCATTTTTGTCATTGGAGAAAAAGTTTCACCACAATCCAAACAAAAAATGTGTATAACCTTTGGCCACCACAAGATAAGCTTTGAGATGATCAATAGTACAATCAGAACAAACTTTGATAGAAAAGATCCACCTACAACCAATAACAAATTTCCTAGTCAATAATGGGACAAACTTCAAAGTTTCATTATTCTGAAGAGTATTGATTACATTAAGCATTACTTGATACCAACTAGGAAGGACTAAGGCATCACCTACAAATTTTGGAATTAACACAACACAAAATAGTGTAATTAGAAAAGGAATTACGGTAGAGCATATACCTTTATTGAGGACAACTAAAATTTCAAACTCAATTGTAAGAGCCGAAGGGGATAGAGGACTAGTCACTAAAAATGAATCATTCAGTGAATGATGAGAATGTTGTCGTTGACTACACTTGAAGGGTTGATGGAGGTAGAGAATCTAAAGGTGAAGTAGACACAACAAGAGAATCACATATAACATGAATATTAATTATACTAGACAGAGACACTAAAGTAAAAAATAACTCATTAAATGTCATATCTATTGAAATAAAATAACGGTTTAAGAAAAGGAGAATAAAATTTATATGCTTGTGAATTAGTTAATTATAAAAAGACACATGCATGAGAATTTATAAAAATAAGACTAATTTTTTTACTAAAACATACAAATTCAAAAACTTCAAGATCCAGAGAGAAAAAGATTCATAAAGAAATAAGATAGAATAAAAAACTTTTTTATCTAAAATAAAAAACAAACAAGATAACATGTAGTGATAACATCGTCCTACAAATATTGAAAAACCTTATAAATTAAAATTATACAAACTGTTTCAACTAAATATCTATTTTTACACTTAATTATCCTATTTTATTAAAATGTATAAACATATATATGAGGTTTGATGAAGAAAATATATATAAAATAATGTATTTATAACGAAAAATCTTTCGAAAAAATAAGAGTTAAGTTCAAATACTTATAATAATATAACTAATTCAATATATTATAATTAACAATATTTAATAATATTTTAATAATATCTGACGGTTGAGGAGTTCATAACAAATTAACAACACCAGTTCAAGAGAACCAGGGCAAGAGAATATTAAGAAACCCACTGTTCTTAAATTTCTTACATGATACAAGAATGGTGGCATATTTGTGAAGTTTTTTACTTTAAAACTTTAACCGTAGAAAGAGTATATTTTAATTAAAATTAAGTACATTAAAATTTAAAGTAAAGAAACTAATAAAATAATTACTAATTAAAAGTGAAATTTAAGAATATGAAAGGTTTGCTTTTACGAAAAATAAATATATTTTATTTCTTACAGAAAATATTAGTAATAGGGAAAATTTGATTACACTTATTTAATTTATACATATTTCAACCAATTATTCACGGGACATTATAGAGACTTTGATACTAATAATATTGAAAACATAAAAACCTTAATTTAATTAAACTCATTTACTTTTTTGTTTGGTAAACTCATTTACTTTATTTATAAGGTTAAAGTAAATTATTTAATTAAACTTCTTTCTTTAGGGAATATTTAACTGTTCTTACACTAGTTAGACTCAAGTTTTTGGATCCTCCAGACATGCTTAGCCAAATGTTGCATGTAAAGGCAAATAAATTATCTGATTAAATTAAGTGTGTAGCAACTATTTTTGTTATTAAGTTTATAAATCTAATTTATTATTTTAATTTAATTATAAAGATAATTTAACATTATTTTTTTGTTATTAGATTATACTATTTAAAGATTAATTCTTACTTTTTATACAATTAAAAATTAATCATAATTTTATTCTTTTTAAAATAGAATTAATTTTACAGAATTTCATCACATGACTTGTACACCTCTGACCTCTGAGAATTAAATCCTGAATAAATTTAATAATTAAGGAATATATAAACAGAATAATGAAAAGGTTTGGTATATTAGAATTTGAGGTATTGTGAATTTGAGGTTTAAATTTGTTATTCTCTCCGTCAAGATTTTCTCATTGAAAATCACTAATTATAGCTGCCAACCCTATTTATATGACCATCACCAAAATTTAACGCTACTACTATGCTGGCTTTAATTACTATCCTAACATACTGACTTTATATTAATTTTACTCTGTAAATATATTGCATTTACATTATAAAACTAGAATTAGGCAGTCTTTCGTTAACAAATATATGCGCACGTTCTTTTACTTTAGAAAAATTAATATTTACGGTCTATATTATATGTCAATATCATAAAACGTAGACATTTTATTTTATTTTATATATTTTCACTTTTATCAATATAATACAAAATAGCATGAGCTAGTGTCACTGTATACTTGGACAAATTATACTTTGATATTTTTGTAAAGATTAAAAAAATAATATTTTAGAATTGATGATAGTTTTAAAATATTGATATTTGATTATTTTAATATTAAAATATTTAATATATATAATAGAAAAGNGAATAAATTTAATAATTAAGGAATATATAAACAGAATAATGAAAAGGTTTGGTATATTAGAATTTGAGGTATTGTGAATTTGAGGTTTAAATTTGTTATTCTCTCCGTCAAGATTTTCTCATTGAAAATCACTAATTATAGCTGCCAACCCTATTTATATGACCATCACCAAAATTTAACGCTACTACTATGCTGGCTTTAATTACTATCCTAACATACTGACTTTATATTAATTTTACTCTGTAAATATATTGCATTTACATTATAAAACTAGAATTAGGCAGTCTTTCGTTAACAAATGTATGCGCACGTTCTTTTACTTTAGAAAAATTAATATTTACGGTCTATATTATATGTCAATATCATAAAACGTAGACATTTTATT